GCAGCTCAATGCATAACCAAGTAGCCACTTTGGGTCCATACAGCTTCCCTTGCAAGTCCTTTAACATCTCATTCTTGTCCAAATATTTCTGACCTTTTCTGTAATTTATTTTACTGTATCCTGTAATTTATAGGTCTGAATTCTTCCCATATTTAAAATTAAAATGATAAGTTAATAAATTAGTGTAACTTAACAGCTGAAGATACAGTGGAGCACCTTACCTAAGAAATGAGAGCTGATGTGAGATGTGATCTATCCAATGACGTGTACCAAATCAGTGACCTAAATAATCCCAGCAACATAATTTTTTGTTGCTGAGCTGTGTAAAATGGATTATAATCAACTACACAAGACAGAACGTCATGTTTCCTTCTGTTGTGCACAGGGTCACTATGGGTCAGAACCGACTTGAGGGCACCTACCAACAAGAACAACAGAGACCAAAGGGCAGCATCTGCCCCAAAACAAAGCTCTAAGGGCAGGAAAGGGCAGGAAGGCAGGACGACTGGAAATGGGGACCCAGGGATGAACAGGAAGGGTGCTGCTGTACTGAGGGGATGGCAGCGACTGCCGTCAACTAAATGAGTTGACACTGTTGAATGCAAAACTAAATGCTCTATAAACGCTCACCCAAATCACAAGAGAATGTTCAAGTAAATTACTAGGAAGTTATTTCTAGCCCAGAAATATCTTAAGTGAACGATTTTCATCTGAATGCAGGCCCAAAGGACATGTCTGTGTTTGGTTGGTTGCTTGCTTTGCCCAATGCCACGTTCCCAGAAAGTCTCACTGGAGCAGCAATGGCACAGAAAGCACATACCTGAGTATAAGGCGAAATGAAGCTTGTGATGCACACCAGGCCGGCGTCTGCAAACAGTTTGGCAACTTCTGCGATACGGCGGACATTCTCTTCTCTGTCTTCAGGGCTAAATCCAAGATTTTTATTGAGTCCCTGACGAATGTTGTCACCATCCAAAGTATAGCACGGAATACCGTGGCACACCAAGTACTCCTCCAGAGCCATGCTCACCGTGGTCTTCCCGGCTCCCGACAAGCCTAAACAAGCCACACAGATCCCAAGTGAGAAGGGTAATAATTTAATAATAAAATCTTTCATTACAGGTTTACTTTCATTATCCACAGCAGTCTCTCAGTAATTTTCTTAACCAGTATTTTTCTATACAATTACCCCCTACCCATGAAAACATCGACAATTTAAACACAGTATACACGTAAAATTTTACTCATGCAGATATATGCTCAAGGCATTCTTGAACTCACTAATGAGTCACAAAAGGACTTAACTAATTAGGTAATGCTGGGGAAGGTAACTACTCTGTCCTCTTACTATCTCTGTTCTAAAGTTGCACACTAAATTTTAAAACAACGTTATATGCCCAAACTGTGAAATTATCTACCCATCAACATTCATAACATGGAAAGAAAAAGAAAAAATGGGGGGAGGGGGACACATAAAGGGAAATAGTGCAAAGTCACCTCCATAGCCCAGGATCACATCTATTAAGTCCACCATGGTAATCTATAATTAACCTTGAAATAATACCCTTATTCAACAATGAAAAAAGTGAGTGAGAAGAAAACAAAACATACATGCATTCACAGATGCCACACTGATAAAACAATGTTCATAACCAAAGCCGTTTTATAAAAAAGCAAGGGAAGAAGTAATGGAGTTTAATATACTGATGTAGTATAGACAGCCAAATG